CAAATACAGGAAAGGCGGTGGAGGCTTTTCATTGACAACATCCATCAAAATCAAGATGAAACCCTTCTTTATAAAAGAAACAAGATCTAGGCAAGATATCATTCTACTTTCAATCCTTTTTTGTAGCTTCTTTGTAGTATTGACGCTCAAGAGATGGAAAACCAACAACTAGCAAATTTGACTTAAGAGCCTTCGTTTGTTGACCTATAAGATGAGACATTTCAATTATCTCAACCTTCTAGATGATGCAATCGAGATAAAGATCTTCAAGAACGACATGTTCTTCCTCATATAGATGGTGAAATACAACCCGTTTGATATCACGACCTTGGAAGGGACTTTCGATGTTTGATGATTTTATTAGAGGTAGGAACAACTCCTGATGGTATTCCAAATGTTTTATTTGAAAGAAGTTATGAAGGCCTCAACAATGATCAAATAACTGGGTGGTCTTCCCGTCCTGGTATGGGACACTACTGATGGTTGAGAGGCCTTATCAATCATCTTTGAAGAGAACAAAGATCAGAGTATGTGGCAAATATAATTCGTCCCATCATAGATTTTGTCAACATATGATTATCGCTCCTCATGGAACTCGTCCCTAGAAGGAGGAATAATATCACGGACATACACATGTAAGCCAATAATTACATGTATAAATAGATAGAAGTAAGTAAAAGTAGGTAAAAGTAAGTAAAAGTAAGTTAATTCTATATAAGCTTTCTAGAAGCTTTATAGACATTGCTTTGACTTTATAGATGTCTTTAATTGACTTTTGGATTAGAAACGTGGTCAATAAGTTGGCCATGTATCACACATGTTATTAGCTTAAAGACCAAGCTAACTATATGGTCCACACGTAGAAAAACTTATCTTGTAAGTCAAGGCATGTGTCCTACAAAGTCAACATATATTAGAGGTCCTATAGAACGTCACCACATAGCTCCTAGTTAGATAGTATATATAGAGACAAGAGTGAAGCCTTCTTCACTTTTATCAACTCTTTTCTTGTTTCTAGTCTAGTTTCAAGGGTCTCAAGTTTTCTTGGCTTTTGGCAATAGCCATTCCAGTTTCTTTTTTAATATATATATCAAGTTATTTCTGGTTTATCATCTTTCTATGAGAGAAGTCTTACTTATTTATTTGTCTTCATCATGTTTTTGTCCTTGAAAATTATTTATTCTTGATATAAGTTGGACTATCATAAGCTTGGACCTTTTTCTATTTGTGAACAAGTCAATCCTATTCCTTATCAATTACATCTACTAAAGTTTATGAAGATCCATCTCATATTTCACATATTTCTTTTTTAAGCCATATAAAATAGTCGATATTTCAAAAAGAAGACAAATGCCACTTCCTCTTATAGAAGTAGATAATAATCAAGAATTTGACGTGCAAGAAGTCTTAGATTCAAGGTGATATCAAAATATGTTGGAATAACTTATTCATTAGGACAGATATGATATTAGTAAATACACATGGAAACTAGTAAAGAATCTTGCAAATGCAGTACAAAAACTTGAAGCTTTTTATTGACAATATCTATCAAAATTTAGATAAAAAATAAAATAAATCTTTATTATAAAAGAAATTAAATTGAAGAAAGATACATTCTACCTTCTACATTTTTTTGTAGCTTCTATGTATTTATAACATTAAGGAGAAAGAGAACCAACAACGAGTAGATTTAGCTTAAGAACTTTCATTTTTTGACTTATCAAATGAGATATTGCAATTGTCACAATCCTCAAGACGATGTAATTGAGATGAAGCTCCTCAAGAACGACATGTCTTGCCTCAAATAAATGGCGAAATATAACATGTTTGGTATCACAACCTTAGAAGAGACTTTTGATGTTTGGTGATTTTATTAGAGGTAGGAACAACTCTTGATAATGTCAAAATATTTTATTTGAAAGAAGTTACAAAGGCTTGAAGAATGACCAAATAATAAGATGGTCTTCTTGCCCTAGTATCGAACATTATAGATGGCCGAGAGGACCTATTAACCATCTTTAAAGAGAACAAAGATTAGAATATGTGCCAAATATAATTCATTGTATCTTGAATTTTCTCAATATATAAAGATCGCTCCTTATGGAACTCATCTCTAAAAAGAGGGGTGATGTCACACACATACATATTTATTCTAATATTTATCTATACGATTAAGTAGAAGTAGGTAAAAATAAATTTATTTCATAATATTTTTTAGAAAAGCTTTCCAAAACCTTCATAGATGCTACTTTGACTTTACATGTGTTTGTAGTTGATTATTAGGCTAGAAACTTTATCAACAAGTTAACCACGTATTGATAGCTTGTAAAACAAGTTAACTATGTGGTATACATATAAAAAACTTGTCTTGCAAGTTAAGATATGTGTCTTGTAAAGTCAACATGTTTTAGAGGTTCTATAGGACATCGCTATATAATTCCTAGTTAAGAGTATATATGGAGGCAAGAGTGAAGCCTTCTTCACTCTTGTCAATGCATTTCTAGTTCTTGGTCATGTTTCAAGAGTTTTTAATCTTCTTGTTTTTGGCAATAGCCATTCTAGTTCAATACTATATCATCTTTGAGTGACTTTTTAATTCTTTTGAATAACATAAGACTATATTGAGGATTTCTTTCTTCAAGATTGATGTCCTTGACACATGTGCACCATGTGACTAACTTATAATACAAGTGGCCAATATGTGCAACAAGTAATTAATTTATTGGCCAAGTTTTGAACCTACCAATATCCAATAAAAATATATAGAGTCAAATTTGTATCTATGAAATTTTTAAGAAGCCAAGCAATAAGATATTAATAATTTAATTTACTTTGACTTACTTAAATGTTATTCTAATTATTCCTACTTATCTAAATAAATATACTAGTAATGATAGATGCTCAAGATATATATAAAAAAATTGTAGGTGTGAAGTGCAACCAAAGTTGCACATGTAAAAAGCCTCAATATTAACAACACTTAAAATCCTACATAACAGTTTACTAATTGCCTTCAATGTTTTTTCTATCCATTGCTACTTTTACATGATCATTGCATCTTAATAAATACTTATTTATATGTATTACATAAAAAATAAAGATAGATAGATTTTATATTTTTAAGAAAAATAAATAAAGACATAAATTTATTATATATATTCAAAATATTATATTTGTAGATTATTTTTTTAATATTTTTTTATAAATACTAAGGATTAATAAATGATAATGAATATAACTTAGAATTTGAAAAGACTTTTATCAAAAATTTAAAAGTTATAATTATTTCTAAAATAGTTTGTTAATTTGAAAATTTATAATTATATACATATTTAATGACATTTATTTTTTATTTTACCACATTACATATATTTTTAGATCATAAGTTTTATTTTGACTTATAAATTAAAAATATTATTATATATTTTTTAAAATTTAATTTATTCTAATTTTTTAATATTAATAATAATTCAAATAATAAATAATAGTAGTATTTTATATTTCTTAAATTTATTTTTTAATTTATAATTAGAATCTGGTATACAAAAATTTTATCTTTGAAATTAATTTAATTATTTTTCATTATGTTCACAAGATTCAATCCACAATTTGTTATTTCAATGAGTGTTACATATCTTTGTAGTTAAAGTATTTTATATACTTTGACTTAAATAAAAAATTGTCATAACTATTTATATCTATACTTAAATTATTATAACTATTGAATTAATAATTTATTCCAATTTAATTTGTGGTTTTAATCATAATTTATAGTAATCAAAAGGAATTGCAATGTGAGTTGTATATAGACAATATGGGTTAAATTGCCTAGAAACCCGTTGTTTTAGGAAACACACATCACGTCATCTCCAATTCATCCACCCACATATGCATACATCCACGTTAGCTATGCGAATGGATGAATTCATTCATCCAACTTCTCGAACGAGCATCGGACGATGGACGAGGGCGGAGGAGGAGGAGGAATCAACGGCGCCGACAATTGATCGCCACCAGGGCACCGGAACTTCGGTATCGGCTGTCCCCCTCCTTCGTCGCAACTTCCGCGTGGATCGAGCTTTCCCAAGTCTGCAGACAACCACCTCCACTGTCGCCTCGGAAGTGTCGCCCTCTTTCCAGAACCTCATGGGAAGAGGGTAAACTACCGCTTGAGCAGCAACCCAAAGTGCGGCGGATCCAGTTGAATCTCATTTCGTATCAAAGTTCAGTCATGTTTGTGCAAGGATTTAACCCCTCGTGCTAAATGGACCGAGAAGCACTGGATCCCGGTTGTCTTCGGATCTAGGTCCCTTTGCATCTCGGCCTGTTTCACTGTTTTTCAATTCTAAGAAGAGATTGCACAACACACATGCACTCTTGCTTTGTGACAGACGCATCGTGCTTGATTCCTTGACGACGAAGCACGTGATGGACCCGAAGGTTGTTGCTTGTCCAGTTTGTTGCAGTGGAATCTGAGATGCTTGGGATCCACACGGAATGTAGGTCGAGACCTTTGCTGAGATGCTAGACTGGGAGATGACAGCCAACTTCGGGTTTTTCTTGAGATAGTTGCAAGCAAACCATATATACATATATTTATGTATACATGTGTAAATATCTAGATAAGCACAAAAAGAAATTCAACTTTCCTAACCATTTGTATGTGTTTCACTTTACTATTCAGAACACTTAAAACCAATTTGAAGAAGCCAATTGTTGTGGAACCTACGTCTTGGCCACATCAAAATAAATCTCTATTCACGAGACGATAGCTGGACAGTCCAGTGCTGATGAAATCCACTTTTAAACTATTGGATCATATCATTTCATGCTTTTGAAGATTCTCTTATTAGGATGAAATTATGACTCCCACACAACGAATGGTTGGGGAGGTCGAGAATTGGTCTTGGTGAAGCAGCTTGAGATTTGTGAACCACATTTGACATTTGATAAATGCTGAGTACTCATACAAAAATAGTTGCAGGTTGTTGTGTTCGTAGTGACTGAAAGATAACCGCCATCAGACGAATGCTTGCAAAATTAAGCTGTGGTGCAGCCCTAAACAAAACAAAGTTTTGTATCTTTACCATTGGTCTATACTTTCTGCAAGGGCTGCTTTACATGATTTGGTAATCAGATGCTCTCGAAAAATCCAGAGTACCAACTGTGACTAAGCTTCTATATATATATATATATATATATTCTTTCAGATGCTTGGTGATCATTAGGATGAGACTTGTAATTTTGAGTAAAATTCTAGGTCAATCCTCGTGTGGTGCAAATTTTCAAATTATAAGGTGGTAGGCTTTTTAAATACAAAGTTACTTCTGTACAAAAAAACCTGGATTAGAATTTGACCAAGGGTCAGATTTGACGACATTCCCAGAATTCAGATTCTGCCTTGTCTTGGCGTGCTAGGTTGAGCACACGTTGCTGGTTTACATTCCCGTAAACCACCACTTTCTTCGTAGTCTGATCCATGGTGAAAGACTCCACGCCTGGTAACAGTAGCAAAGCAGCGCAAGCAAGCTATTCACCAAAAAAAAAGTGATTCCGCATCACAAGTTTGGTCACAGAAATGACTGGACACACAAGCAGAACTGATTTCTCTGAGGTCAGACAAAGCCTTCTCAATCAAGTTTGTGGAGAGTGAGTGGGATAAAGGATTTTGAGAGACGTGATATCGATGGAAGTTTTACCTTCTTCATACTGCAGGAGCTTCCTTAATTTTCGCACGCATTTGTCACAGCAAATTGGTACGTACAGCTGCACCTGAGTGATAAATCCAACAGAGTAAATTATCGATTCAAAGCATGCTTCTTCTTCTACAAGCTCTGAGTCCTCGTGCACTTCTAGGAAGAATTCTGCAGGAAAACGTTGGTACTATCTAGTATACCATTCGTGACAAGCGTTGATTGCATAAGTGACGATCAAGGTGACTGCCTTCCTGGTGGTACTGATGGTTGCGATATCCTCCGTAGTCTGTCCTTCCGAAATGATCGTAGTAGCGATCCATTCGGCAGCCATCTAATCGTCCGCCTGGATGCCCTCTATACTGCTGGTGCTGGTTATTCGTCCAGCGTGGAGACCCCCCTCTGTAGAACACCTATACAAAAACAGAGCAGATCACCCTCAAGAAAAACGAAAGTCCATCTAAAGCTTCAATTCCTTCTTCGTGCTCACCACGGCGATCGCATTGAAGTTTTTGAAGCAGGATCACATGAGTTGGATCTCACATGATTGGAGAGAACGACGGAAGATGGGCTCACTTCTTCAAGAGGAACAACACCCTGCCGGCCATCATAAGAGCTCCTCATGGGGTAATTTCTCCGGCAATCGTCGACGTAAGATGGCTCCCGGAAGTTCCGAAGCGCAGGATCATAGTAACGCCGGCTGTCTCTGTCGTGATTGTATGGCCAATACAATCGGCTGTTGTCAGTCCTGTGAGATACATGGTCCTGTGGTTGACCATAACCTCGAGGATAATACGCCATGATGTCTGCTGTGCTGCTTCGATCTATTAGCTTCTAAGTAGACAAACATACGTCACTGTGACAAGAAACCAGGATTAGATCGAAGCATCGACTGCGTCGACTAGGCAGATCTATTAAGTGGCGCAAAAGTAGTGGTTGTCGGTAAGCACCTTGCAGAATAAGTCATAATAATATTCGATACAGTTCTTATCCTCTTTTTTCTTCGCCCCCACATGGTGGTCACCCAGACCGATGTTGGAGCCACAATTCGAAATTATCCGAAGATGAGACAGTTAAACGTATGGAGAAGGGAGAAACCAGACTATCGCAGATGCCAAGTCCCAGAAGAATTGGTCTCACGGCACAGATCGACCTTGTGGATCGTCCAGATTATTGATCAAATTTAAAGCTCAATTTTGAGTAAGATTGTTTCCATGGTGTAAATTCGGATGCTACCACAGAGATAGTAGAGAAAGTTAGTACCCATAATTTAAAATTCATTGAAGACCTAACATTTCTTTGCTGTTCTCATAGTGTGAATGAACACGCGGTCAACGATTTTCTTTTTGACACACTGGACCGATTTCATGTACCGACTAATTTTATTTAATAAAAAAATAAACTGTTGCGGAATTATGGTACGAGTTAATAATATTTTGTGAGTTGGGTGCAACTTCGAGGTGAGTTACATGACGCGGTTTCCTTCAAACATGGGCTCAGGTGTACAGACAACTCATGTTCAACAGAGATCCAAATACTAGTTTCGTTTTTTCTGTGAATTAATGTACATGTAGCCATATGTTTGTAGTTGTATTTGTTTTTCCAAGGATGCATCCAAGACTCAGGAGCAGATTTTGGTGAATGAACCACACTGAAGTGAAATCCCTGACCAAAATTTCATCATTGGCCACAGAATCTCTTTTTTTTTTTTTTTTTTTTTTTTTTTTCTCTCTAAACAAAACAGTTTGGAAATGGTCATTAAGAGTCTGAATGATCATTGTGTAGCAGTGAGCATGTCTGAGTTTCCAACGCACCAATTTGGACCGTATCTTATTCCTGATTATCAAGTGACAACTTCTTCCTGAAACAGTCGAGTGCATCATTTTAGGACTCCCTGTTTTAATTTTCAGGAAATTCCCTCCTGGGCTAGAAACACCTGTGAAGAATTGAAGTATTTTTATTCACAATTCACCTTGTAAGTGGGTCAGAGTTCGGAGATGTCAATGCTATAGTTAATCAGAAGAGTTGATGCTTGCTTGAAACATCTATTCTTTCATTCCTGCATTGAAATGTTGAAATGCCTAGTCAGAGTAAATTTTAATTCTGCTGCAACAATTTTAAAACTTCACATGACCATGGCAGGGCGTCTTCATCGCCACCAAAGTCGTCTTAGGATCACTTCGTACGGGCAGGTGACCATAAAAAGTTCGACGTCTCAATCTAATGCATGTTGCAAGTCCATAGTGAGTATCATCAACTGCAACTTCGTTTCAAAGCGTGCGCCATGAGATATAGACACACAGCAAAGGCAGAAGATTTGCAAGTGAAAAAACAGCCACGAATCAATATCGTCAACAAAAAACCTAGTTCAACCTAGTCCAAACTATTTGAGAAATTCAATGCATACAATCGATCTTCTTTCTTAGCGGGTGCCGGCACAATGTGCTTTTAACAAGCTGTCGGAAGGAAAATTCATGATATAGACATCCGTGTCTCTCTTGGCTCCAGCATAAAAGCGGTTACATCCCGACGCACAGACTCATTAATTTGGGAAGATTTTTCAATATTTTAGAGGACAAAGAAATTGTGGATCCACTGATTTGCAATGCCAGTTCACATTAAGACTTACACTGCAAGCCGAGTTTGAATCAGGGCGATTAGTACCTTCCCTGCTCGAGTTTTAACAGTTGCCTGTCCATCAGATGAGTTAAGTCTTCGCGTGCCTCATCAGCACCGCAACCTTTTTTCTGACATTCGGATGTAAAAATGCTGAACAGTGAGAGATCCTGCCGTGAAGATCAGAAAGTCACTCTGCACTGGTGCACTGTCTAAGGTTCCAGCTCTCTCTCCATTTTACCTGATGAAACCCGATCCGAACTCTGACGACGCAGGATAGTTTTGTTGCATCCCCTCCAGTTTCAGGGACTCCAGACCGAGTTGATGAGATTCTAAGTCAGCACGTGTTGCGAGCTTTGGGGTACTGCAAAATGATGATCAGCTGCATGCGGCTCCGACATGAGTGGGCCGCACTAACAACAACTCTGCAACATATCTTCGCTTGAGAAAAAAGGCGCAATGACTCGAGTCTGTTGCTAGGTAGGTTCATAACACCAACTCCTGACAAGCGACTCACATCATTCCAATCCACCGAGGATGATGACTACCACACGCCCAGGGTCAGTACCTACAGTGTGCGTCTACTCTTGAACATTCAATTCCAGCTCCTGTTTGTTCACAGTCCAGTTGCAGGATTATGAAGTCGCACGCCCATGGCGCTTCCCCCGATGAACGGCACCTCATCGGGTGGTCTTCGTCGTCGCCTCGCGGCAGTGGTTACGAACGATTGAGAGAAAGAGAGTGCTCACCAAGCTAGCTCGCACTGATAGAGCTCTCTCATTTGCGCAGGCAGCGCCGAATTATGGCACCAACTCCCGAGGCGGAGAGTGGATGGGCCTCGTCGAGGGCGGTGAGCCAAGCGTTTGGTAGCGGCCATGGATTGCTCTCAACTACACTCCATCAATGCTATCTCTTCAGTATTATTATCATTATTATTATTATTCACGCATTGTTGCATACCCAATAGAAGCGCAATCACATTGCATACCCAAGGAAAACCTAGATTACTCTGCGTGCGTGCGTGCGTGCGTGCGACAGCCACAGAATCGTTGAGGCAGCACCCTGCTCCGCTTCTCGCAGCACCCTGCTCCGCTTCTCGCAGCTCCCTCTCGAAGAAGCTTGCGGCGACACACTCCTCCTCTCGGAGAAACCCTAGCGCGCCAAATTCCTTGCCATGTCAGATACTCGCCAATTTGTTTGTGTATTATGTGGACAGTCCTAACCCCTCCGATTTCGTGCCACGAGTGCGATCCCGGCCACGTCACTTGCACAGGTGGCCGATCGTCTTATTCAGCCGCTCTTGGATACGTTCGTAGTGTACTTTTTACGACACGGGTCTACTTTAAAGGCTCTCTCCTCTTCATGGAATATGTACAAGTTTTAGGATGAAACAATTTGCTCTTGACATGAATCCAAAAATTTGGCGTTTAGAATATATCCTTTTGACAAAATAAAGTTACAAATCATTAATTATACAACCTTAATTTGATAATCATGTGTTTGTTAGTTTATATGCCTTGTATAAATACATGCAAACCACCAAGATACATGGTGAATTATTCATACTTTTCTAAGGCATCCTATCACATCATTCTATTAGGGCTCAATGGAATGTGACATGGCTCAAAGCAGCACTTTAGTTTTTTGAATTTCTTTATTCTTTTTTATGCTTTTCCAATTCAATGCTTGTGGATGAACTAGCAACCTCACTTTCCATTTGGAAGCTCATAGAAGTTGGAGAATAAAAATTGAAGTGCAGATCCATCCAATTTTGTCCTTTTGATGTGGATATCTACCATATAATGATAATAAAAAATAATAACGATATTTCTCCACAAGAAAAATAAATAATAGATCATAAGGATTTCAAATTTTCATCTCCTTGCCAGTTTTGATGAGGAACCCATGTTACATTTGTATAAGTTTGCTGTCCACTGTCCATAAATGGTAGCATATCTACTTACAAATCTTATTCACATTGAATTTTATTAAGAATTCTGATGCAATGGATGTCAGGTGTCATGTCCATTTTCAAGGACCATAATGTAACAAAAGGTAGTTGTATTCATTACTATGTAGTTTTATTCTGTGAATCATTTGCCCTTTCTTGGAATTCTTAGCCATCACAGATTAGATACATATTTAAAGGAGAGTTATTAACTGTAAGAATATTATAATTGATAATAAGTATTTTAATAATGTTTTAAAAAAGATTGTTCAACTATCAACATCTGAAACAAACCAATGTGAAGCAAAGTTGTTGAGAGCTGAATATTGAATTGTTGCAAGGTTTTGAAACTCTCCATGAGTCTTCTGGGATTAATTATGAGCTAAGATGGTAATAAACAATAACACACAGCATGACATTTTAAAATTTTAAGTGGTGACCCCTTCATCCTTGTAAAGTCTCCATTAAGTAATAAAATACTTGTTTGGTTGTTTGTTTGTTAGTTTTTTCTATTGCATTCATACTGCAATCAAAAGAATCCTATTGAACTCAAAATTTATCAACAAATCATTTATTGAGACAAGTTTGCTATAGCATATGTATTTTAACATTTGTACGTATTTTTAAAAGGTATTAAAACATACGTCTATAAATTTAATTAACCTGTCAAAATCAATATTTTGGATAAAAGTTTTTTTTTTTTTTTTTTTTTTTTTTTTTCACTCCCTCTATATTTTCTTACGTAAAGTCCAACCAATTCTCTTGTTCACCAAAAATACTCCTAAAAAAATTTTAAAAAATGAAGTAAAACGACATTCTAGTTGATAAGGAATGAAGTTAGAGGAGTGGATAATTACTTTCTGATACCGAGATAAAGATAAATTTTGACACGCAGTTTACAAGATACACTTTAAGAATGAATATAATAATAACATAAAAATGGGGGTCTGTACACAACATCAACTTATAATTTAATATTTACCTAAAACTGGAACAATAGCTATTGTAGAATCTCACTGCTAATATAATATAGCTTGGGTTACGGCTGGGGCTGCCAGATTGGTGGGTTCCAGGCTGATGGAGCGCCGCTGTTGAGGCCGCCAGAGGCTGGCTGCGGCTGGCGGCGGCGATGTGAATTAAAGGGGCTGAGTGGGAGGCATGGAATGAATGAATATATGGATGAAAGATAGAGTTGAGGGATGAATATGAGCCAAGTTGTCTGACAGCGGGGAGCTGGCTACAAGGGGGGGGGGTTGGCGATAAACCTCCCTACTCAATCCGGTGGTTCCTCCATCGCAGGCCGTCGGATTGAATCATTCTCTCAGATTCAATCGGAT